ACCATGAGAAGGCAAAACTCCCTGGAGAAGACCATCATGCTAGGGAACGTTGAAGGCAGAAGAAGAAAAGCAAGGCCTCCAGCGAGATGGGTTGACTCCATAAAATAACCCGCAGCCTTGAATTTACAGGAGTTGAGCAGGGCTGTCGGGTAGGTCTTTTTGGAAGCTTTGATTCATAGCAGCGCTGCAAGACAGAGATGTCTTGATTGCACTAACAACAACAATACTTGTGACGTTACTTTGGACAGAGGTGCCAACCAGTACTTAAATGTTTTTGTTTGCGACTTGTGCTCTAGCCGAAAAACAAACATTAAACGATTTAAAAATAAAAAGCAAGCCGATGCTGCTAGCTGAATAGCGAAGGAGGAAGAGTTTGTGCTGCTGCTGATTAGCTGCTTGGCAGGGAAGGAGGAAGAGCGGTCAGGAAGGACGGGGCTTTGCCAGCTGCGTCACAGGCCACTTCTCTGGCCACACGCCTCAGCGGCACCATGCCAGCCCGCCCTGCACAGGTTGGCACCGGGGGCAGGCTGGAGGGCAGCCTCCTAGGACCAGAGCCCCAGATCTTTCATCTGGAGCCCTGTCTCTAGGAGGAACTGTGCCCCACCACCCGTGCTGAAATGAAGGCGCGGGGGCCCTGGGGTATCTGGTCCACCTTTGGTCCACCAGTGCTTCATCTGCTAGTACTCTCCCCGAGCCGAATCTTCCTGCGTTTTTTCTTTAAATCAAATGCCCTCCTCCCCTCTGTCCAAGCATCTCTTTTTACTGATAGCAGTGTCCTTAGGAAAGGCACACCCAGAGAGGCAGACTTTAGAGAAAATGTAAATTAGCATATGCAAATATGTGCTCCCACCCCCACCCCTGCTCACCTTGTCCTGGAGGCCTGGGCCCTGGCTGGCATGGCAAATGAATTCCAAGTTAAGGAAATGGCCACAAACCAGGTCCATAAAAAGATCACAGGAGGAGAAGCACTTGCACTGGTTTGCCTGTGACATCATCTGCATTTCTGCTAATCAGTGAATGAACAATTCATGCAGCGAGAGTGGAGGCAAACTGAATGTCCTTCTCTCCAGGGTAGCATTCTTAAACCTCTTTCCCCTTTCAGAATTTCTTTTCAGCCACTGAGAGGCAGTGAAGTCCTCTTTCCTCTTCTGACAGGTACTTCGGCAACATCAGGTAGTTTTGATCAGTAATAGCAGAGGACTTGCTGACTTGGTACTGGGCTTCCGATTGACTGGGTCAGACCCTGCCCAGTTGCTGTTCCCTGAGCGGTCGTTAGATCTGCAGAAAGGTGCAGCAGGGAAGAAAGCAGAGCAGATTGCTCTTCAAAGGCACAGAACGGGATGCCAGTCCAAAGGCTGGCTGCCCAATTCGGTTCATGCATCTTCTGTATATATTTCCAGATTTTATGCAAAGGGGGCTCACACATCTGCCCTATTGGTGACAGATGTAGAATTCTAATATTCCCAAGGATATTTGATTTGGAGAAATTTGCTTGAATGTATTATGTCCCGCAAATTCATTTAAGCTCTCACAAGCAAGCGTGTTCCCCTGCGTTATCTTCTCTGGGCCTGTGTAGTATGTGATTTCTTCCTCATGTGGAGGCAGCCAGCCACAGACCGGCCACCCACACACCGCTTTTTTGCTCCCAGTAACCAAAGAAAGCCATTTGGGATTGGCGGCACACAGAAGCTGCCACTTTAGTCTGCTATGATTCAGGCAACTGCAACAAACATCAGTTGTGCCATCCTAGATGAGGCAATCGAATCAGAATTGTGTTGGGGGCTACGGTTCCAAGGGCAGCATCCTCAAGCTGATAGTCACCTGCAAAGTGGTATCATTGCTTCCTTTGTAAGACCCGAAAATAGCAGCTTATACGCACACACGAGCAACTAGGAACAAAGCAGTGTGGCAGCCCCATTTCTGGGGCCCGCGATGCTTGGGAGGCCATCGGGGCACAAAAGCTCTCCTGTTTTCTGCACCTGCGAAAGACAGGGTGGTTCTGAGAAGCCTTTTCCTGGTAGCCAGCCACGGTCTTAACAGTATTTTGATTCTTAGTGTTTCACTGTTTTATTTCTAATCTTTTATTTGTTTTAATTTCACACTGATTACCACTCTGAACTCTGGCTGGCTGTGGGGCATTACGGAAATGCAATCAATCAGTCAGTCAGTCAATCAATAAGGGCACTTTCCTCGCAGCAGGCCATATCTGGGGTGGGGCCCAGTATCTGAGTGATTGCAGGCTGGGGGTGGGGATCGAGGACCCAGGTTGGTTCCAAGATTCTGAGGGATGGTCCACATGGTGCCCAGGGTGCTGCCTTCCCTCCAGCAGCCTGCCTTGCACAAGTACGGGGTGGTGACGGCTCCGTGGTGGCACAGGCCAGCCAAGTGCTGAGGCGATCCGGCAGGCCGGCTCGTCCTGTCTTGGAAACCCAGTGAGGATGGCTGGTTGCCGGGCGAATGAGCCACCCGGGCCGCTGCAGCAGCCCCTGGGTTCCAGGTGGCTTGCTGCCCACAGCAACAAGCCACTCTGCGGAATGACGCTGCAGGGCAGACTTCCAAGGGCTTGAGCAAATCCCCTGTCCTGGCAGGCGATCCCTGTGGTTTTGTTCTGCAGCCACAACCGTGCAAAGTGGACCGGGGAGCCGACTCACCGTGTTACTTCTCCTCCTCCTCTTCCTCCCTGCTGCTCCTGCACTCTTGACAAACAGGAGCCCGTGAGCAAGCTGTGCTTGGCATTCTCTCTGCCCTTCCCCAGCAGCACCGTTGTCTGGGCCAGAGAGAGGGAGAAAGCGCGAGGCGGGAGAACGAGCAGGTTGCAGTGGGGGGAAGCCAAGCGCCCTGGGGCTCTATGGCCAGTGGGCCTCTGCTTGACCGGGGCCTTTGGCAGGTGCGAGTCCAAGCCTGCTCTTGAGGCTCGTCCTGCTGGGTTCACGCCTAGATTTTGGCAGGCCTGGGAAAGAAAGTGGCCTTAGCAGAACGGAACCTTTGGAAAACTAGATATTGCCAGTAATCCCGCAGGGGCAGAAGTGGGAGGGGGGCACAGAGGGGACATTTCAAGATGGAAATGACTGCTATAAAATGCTGTGGGGAACCTGTCACTGGACTTCCTCCACTCTGCCTTTTGGCAAAGACACCGGCAAAGGGAGCTTTTCACCAAACCTCTCCAGGAGCTGAAATTCTCCCGCAGTTTCTTAAGAGTGGGGCTCAGCATTAACCGTGGAAGCATCTCAGTTTCTTTCTACTTTTCCTGTCTTTTTATTTCACTGAAGCTGGAAGTGGCAGCAGGATCAAGTGTGTTTAGAAGCCACTATTTTGTACACTCCACTGTGCCCCAGAATTAGCAGCATTCCAGGATGTGGTGGGGGATAAATGACACGAACCATTGGGACATGGGGGAAAATGCTACAGAGAAATTTCTGTGAAGTGAGCTATTTTGGCTATGGGGTAGGAAATGAGAAAGAGAAAAATCTCAGGAATTACTCTCAGGAATTTTAGCTCTGCTGTAAAAGGAAGAGTTGAACACTGCCTTCCCTCTGTTCCCTTTTCCCAGTTCAAATCACCTGCTTCAGGGAACAGGTAATCAGGATTTGTTGCTTGCACCAGCATGGAAAGTTGCTGGGGTGAAGTGGGTGGAAATTGAGAAGATGGGTGCCTGGGAAGCCTATCAGGAGCAGCTAAGGCTGGACCTTGGGTCAGACTTCATAGAGCTTCCCAGCCTGAAGGAAGCAAATGACCACCCCAGGCTATGGCAGACCTGCCCAAGGACATTCCTCGGCCTAGAAGGGCTGAGATGCTCACCACCACATCCTTCCTTCCTTCCTGATGTTTTTAAATTGTATTGCCATCAGGCACCCAGCTGGACAGGGACATGGTTGCAGGCACTTAATGTATTGTCTTCTCTTTATTGTATTTTTCCACAATAAAATGGCGCATAGTCCCAAGTAAGTGTTTACAGCACCTGGGCAGCAGGAGCAAACTGCATTTTATTCTTGTAGCCATGATGGTACTGTGATTTCAGTAAAATCAAAATGTAAAACTGCACATGCTCAGCGTACTGCTTTTTTAAAAATCCAGTTTGCCAACTAGAGTTTTTCCTTTGCTTGTTCTCGTTTTGCACTTTTGCTGTAACCTGCGAGGAGTGGTGAAGCAGCTGTAAGGCCTGGAGTCCAGGCAGGGGAGATGGAGGCTTGCCTGTGAGGCCTTCTCAGCTCCCCACCACCACCTTGAACAGTAAAGTCTGGAGTCCAAAATGGTCCTGCTTGTGCTGTTCCTGAGATATTTGCCTGACTCTGAAAGTGATGGAGTTCAGGGTACTCTCAGAATAGGGCTGTGGATATGGAAGAGAAACGTTTCCAGTAAACTTTCCCAGGATGCCCTGCTTGTTATTCTATGGGACTGGAATGAGGGCATGATGATTTCGGTGCCCCCCATCTCCACCCCACTGCTGACCCTACTCATAGATTAGCACTTTTCACATGTGGTATGTTTGGGTCACAAAAGCCTGACATACCACTGGAGACAGTGACAGAAACCGGGAGGAGAGACTGAAGGGCCAGAGTTCTGTGAGAGTCATCTTTGTGGCCGATAATAAGGCCCATGTTCTCTTCCCTGTTTCCCTGCCAAAGCTGTAGTCAGTCCACACCAACAGTTTACCCCAATAATCTGTTTGAATCCATGCTTTTACTTACCAAAGTTGCTGCTGTACAAGAGCCTATTTTAAGCTTCCTGCGTCTCACTCTCAGTCTCTCTGTAAGAGGCCAACCAGCTTCTTCAGAACCATCCTTTGCTTCTGTGGTCTTGCCTGGCCATCTCCATTTTCTCCTGTACAAAGTGGCTTTCATATCTTTATGTATGTTTCATTCCAGACAACAGCCTTCTTTTAGAAGCAAAACAAGCAAACGACTTCACCTCACCCCCCTCTGCCCCAAAAGCTCTTTCTGTGCTTTGACGTGTTGGTATGAAACAGTCCCTCACCCCTACTTTCTGCTTTCTTTCCTCAGAAAACCAAAAGGGATGTAAATAACTTTGATCAAGACTTTACACGAGAAGACCCAATATTAACACAAGTGGATGAGACAATTATAAAGCAAATCAATCAAGAAGAATTTAAAGGCTTCTCATATTTTGGAGAAGAGCTGCTGCCATAAACCCCACCCCCAACCCCAGCCAAAACTGGGATCACCAGATCACTGATACTGCAAGATGTGCTTCTGAAAAGATCCCCCAGCTACAACATCAAGAGCTACTTCTCTGATCATGAGCCCAGATCCCCTTACTTTATACTATCTATTTATTGATATTTTTCTTTCTTCTTTGATCTGGAGGCACTCCTAATCTCTCTCTCACTAAGCAATGCAAAGTATTTTGTATCAGAAACTGTAAAGGTAACACATTGCTGTTGTTTCTTGCTGCTGTATTTTTTATTGCCTTTTTTCACCTTCTCAATTTGGGATCTTTCTGTTATCCCCCAGGAAGGCTGTGACTTGCTGATTTTCATTATTATTATTATTATTATTATTATTAAATCTAGCACCTTCAGACTGACTCAGTCATTTTTGAGGTAAAAAAGTCACTCGAAGCTTTTATAATCCATTTTTCACACTGGAAAGTGTGGTCTAAGCCAGGGGTAGGCAGAAAGTAGGTCTAAAACATCTACAGATGATGATGACAAGGATGATGAGTGATTTTATTTCTACACTGCCCAGTAGCCAAAGCTCTCTGGGCTTTGTGGTTTGTGAGAACACCACGTCTGCCTTCTGCCCACATCTGGCCTAGAGAATGGTGCCCCCTGCATGCTCAGATTGTGAGAGGCAGTAAATAACCATCACAAGGGAAAGTTTGTGTATTACCTGTACACTGACGGAGTGGAAGTCAGCTCAGGTGACTTGCTCACCTTGGGTGTAATCCTATAAACCAGCTGCAAGATTTACTGCCCCAACACGATCCCAGAAGACACTGAGTTGGAGCCAAACATAGGGCAATTGTATGCATGTTTCGACAGAAAAAGGCCTTACAAATCCCAGCATGCCCAAGCCAGCCATGCTGGGAGTCATGAAACTGTTTTCTGTCAAACCATGCGTAGGATTGTGCCTTTAGTCATAAGACCTTAAGCCCTGTTGATCTCAGGGGCCTACTCTAAGTAAGACTAAAGCTGGATCCAAGCCGGTAGGTTCTCTCAGCACAGGAGATGCAGATCTAAAATGGGTGAAAGCGTTGCCCTTGATTTCAGCAGAGGCAAAGCACAGGCACTGCAGGCACAACTCCCCACTGCAGATCTGGGGGTCCCAGTGAGCCATACTCCTTTAACAGGGGCACCCCGAATTTCTTTTGCATGAGAAGCATGTGCCGGAGGCTGTAGTTTTGACCTGAGGCGTGGGCAGGGGGCGCACCGCCTTCCCCCCACGCCATTCCACCTGCCAGGGTTGTACCCCTGCTTCCCCTCGCCCCCAAGGATTCCAGATGGCTGTTTGCCAGAGCAAACATCCGTCGGGCACCCTTTGTGGGGGAGAAGTGTTTGAGAGCCATTCTGAGTAGGGGGAAAAGGTTACATGCCCCTCCACTCTTTTCAGACCTCCTGCCTCCCAGGGCTGCTTTTCGTTTATTTAAAAGTGAACAAAAAAAAAAAAAAAAAAAAAAAAAACATTTGGGCTTCATTACTTGTAATTGCATGTAGTTTGTAGTTTTTTCCATTGCTTTGTTGAAATAATTGGGGCATATTTCTGAACAAATAAGTTTAGAGTATCAGCAGAGTTGTGCAGCTATTAAAAGGCTATGAAAACACTTCTATCCCTATTCTAAGGACACAGATGCGCACTTGAGGCCAAGCTAAATGGGATGTTAGCCACGTGCTAATGAGGAGGGGTGTGAAAGCCTGCGTTGCAGGCATGGGGGCCCTGATCCAGACACAGTCGCTGGCATCAGGATAGCAGGAGCAACTTCTTGACTGTTGCTTTGGTCCAGAGGCCCAACGCCTGCATTTTGCTCGAGAAAAAAGCTTCCACCAGAGCAAATGGAAGTTTTCCCACTGCCAGCCCCAGTGCAAAGTGTTGGTGAAAGGGGTCCAGCCTGAACTGGGATTGCAAGCTTTCCTGATGCCTGCAATTTTTGTTTAGAGGATGCTGCCTGCAAGAGCCAACCATCTGAGCCGCTTCTCATTTGGCCCTTAGAAGCAAGTCTTACTGAAATTTCTGAATCTTCTTCCAGATAAATATGTGGTTTCCAGTGAGCACCAAAACAAACTTCAGGCACCCAAGTGAAAAATTCAGCTCTGAAACGACATACTATTTATACCACCTGCTGTAGAATAAAGCACTGGAATGTATTTATGTCGGTATCCCTCCCAGTCAGTACACCTAATGTGGGCGCCGTGAGACAGCTGCTTGAATTGCTTCCACAAATTACCTGTCCTTTGTTTTGAGGAAGAGTTGAACAAATTCACCCATTCTTCCATAACAAATTGGGACTGCAATCAAAGAAAGCTATTTAAAGCAGCCCCCATTTGGCGGCTGAGTCTTGTGTATCAATTGAACTCGAAATGTTTAAAATTGGCGCATTCACTGGGATATGTTGATAGGCTGAAGGAGGGTGTTTATCTTGTTCAGACCTGAAAAAGAGAGAGAGATTGGCATGGTTCATACACAAAACCAAGCCATGGTGTAGTTTGTTGAAGTCTGGCTTGACGCTGTGACTGAACCATCCTGACAAAGAAATCATGGTCATTATAATCCATCTATAATCCACAAATAGATCCAGTGATTGGTTATTGGCTTGTGACATTTAACTTTTTAAAACCATGGCTTTTTGAGATGGCTGAATCCACATCCATGGCTTAACCCTGGCTTGTTTGGGCTGCTATCTAACAGAGTTGCCCAGCAAAACAGATAGAAAATAAAAATCCTCTCAAGGCTGGCAATATGCTGGGGTGGTGGTAGAGAGAAACAAACCAGAAGTAGGGAAAACAATTTGATTTGTTTGCTTGTCTGCAAGACAATTCAAGGCTAAAGCTAAAATGCATTGTTAACTTAAACCATGGCTTAGCATTAGATAGTCACAAGGCATGGGTATAGTATTTTTCTGACTGGCAAAGGCAGCCATGTTTATGCTCCAAAGAGAAGAAACAGCATAAAAGCCATGAAGAAGCTCTCTTTCTTGAACAAATTCATCATTCTGATGCAGAACCAAGCGTGTTCTGTAAAAGGCACACCCAGAGCTTCTGCTTTTTCTGATTTAAGAGGAAAAGGCAGATTTGCACAATCGGGAGTCACATGCCTATAGGGAATTTGTTGGTCTGCCAGTCTAGGAACTGGCACAAAAAATAGCCACTGTTCCTACTAGCCACAGATACATTCATGTCCAAAATGTGATGCATGGGCTTTCTGGGAGACATTAAATCCCAGAAACATTTGGGGTGAGGATTCCATCAGGCTTGATTTCAAATCCGTGCTTTTAAACAATGTTAACTAGTAAGGCTGAGGCAAGGATTATTTCCTAAATAGAGGACAGTGCAGGCTTCCCCCCACCCCCTAAAAATTATGTGGCATTGCACTATCTAGCTGGATAAAGCCATCATTTCACATGCTAAAGGCAGCTCTGGGCCCCTTGGTCAGTGCTGTCCAAGAACTACTAGCTTGGGCTCAGTGGAAAGGAAAAGAAGAGAGAAGGGAGATTGCTTCCTTTGGGAAACAATCAGATGGGAATAGAGAAGCTGAGAGTGCAATAGGGATGGAAGTGCTATCATTCAGTGTGCCAAAGAAACTTGGGTCCCATTTATTTCAGTAGGTCTGCGCAACGTCTATCTAAAAGCAGCCTCTTCTGTGCACAGATTCCGATTCCCATTGACTATGGTAGGGCTTATTTCTGAGTAAATAGGTGTAAGATTGCTCCAAAAATGCACTTGTGGAAGTGGATGGGAATTTGTTTCTGGAGTACATGAACTTCTTCCAGAAACCAGTTACATCCAGTTTCGTAACCCAAGAATGCAGATTACTGAGCGAGAGAAGCATCTCTTACCAAATCTCACCAGCAAGCCACACTGTGACACTTAAACAGATGCAGCAAAAATATTTACCAAAAATACATATATAAAAATATAAATACCAAAAACGCACTTCTTTACAAGACTATGGGCTTAACAAGTATTAGAAACAGTCTGTCTGAAGGAGTTACAGCCAATTAAAATAGATAAAGTTGTCTTGGAAATTATTTCAGGGAAAATGCTTTTTTTCTAAGAAAACATAACCATGATTTTTTAGAACTTTATTTTTAGAACTCGTTTAAAGAATTAGAAGAAAAACAAAACAAAAACAGATGCTTTAAAGACAGGTGTTAAAGGGCTAAAGAGTGGACAGATTCTCCAAAAGCCTATAATGGCTTTAATAAAGCCATGTAGGTTTTCTACAAATTTTACAGTTTCTTCAGCATGTACATGATCATCCTTCCCTAGCAAAACTATAGAAAAATTAGTGTGTGGATCCTTTTCTACTCTTCTATGATTCTATGATTCCTGGCATTGACACAATGGCAGGCATGAATGAGGGGGGTAAAGACAAAAAAGTCAAGTTTTTATTCTGTGGTATCAGATCTGAAGACTTGCCCACTTGAATGACTTGGGTTCTTGATTGTTTATTTTTAATATTTTTTTAATAGCAGTGTGTTACTTTTACAGGCTTTTACAAAAACACAACACAAATACATTGGGCATGATCCTTCTGTGTGCATAGCCTCTCCCACTATTCTCCCTTGCTGACCTTTGGCCAGGAGTGATGCACTGCAGGGGATACATGAGGCCCAAACACGACACCCATGTGTGGATCCGGCCCCCGCCCCCTCCTCAAATCTTCTTCATGATTACCTGAGAACACGAGGATTCCTCGGATCTAAGAACGGGAGATGCATACGGACCTTGCATACTGGACAGTGGCTGAGGACCGAACTCAAAACAATGCTCAATGTGTTTTTATATTTAACATGCATTTTGGAAGGAAAACAAAGATGTTGTGGATGTGTGATTGTCACCAGGTGAGCATCAGAGGAAGAAAGCATAGACCCCAGCCCCTGTCTGCTGTGATCCCAGGAACGATTGATCCCTCCAGCAGCTGCTATTTCCTCTTCAGCTCTGCCTGCGTCAAACACAAGGACCCATTTCATGCCATCGCTCCTGGCCAAGGCTCAGAGGGGAAGAGGGATGCACACAGTGGCAGCGTGTTTGCGCATCGCATGATACTGTACTACTTTGCCATGGGTCCAGCTGGGTCATGCCCAATAAATACTACTGTTCTTTTGTTTTTAATGTTTTGGGAAAAAAATCTGGTATGAATATTGCTCTATAGGAAGAATACAAAGCCAAGCAAACCCATTCATCCTGTGAAAATGCATTAAGAGACTGAAGATCAAGATTCACAAACTGACATTGCTGAGAGTTGTACATGGATTTTCTTGTGTAGTCATTAAAGATATGGTAACTCATGTGGAAAATACATTAACAAATGTGAAGTTACCACCTGTAGATATGCTGACAGTGTTATGTTCTTATATTTCTGGGAGTACCTGTGTTTGTGTGTGTGTTTGCGTGTGTGTGCGTATGTTCCTGTATTGTTGAGGTCTATATATACACATACATGCATATATATATATATATATATACACACACACACACACACATATATATATATATATATATATGGACTGAATGAGCAGTTAAGGGAATCCATTTTACTTGTTGCACTTGGATTTTCCAATTTTATATATATATAAATGTGTGTGTGTGTGTGATTGGCAGAGTGGCACTCTAAAAGCTTATTTCTTTATTATTTTACTTAGGGTTTGTTTTCTGTTTCTGAGGGGTTTTTTCCCTTTTGTACAGGTGAGGATTTTGTATATAGGTGTTTACTGCAAGGCCTGTGGAATTCAATGAATATAGAGGTATCAACTGCTGCATGTTCAGACATATTATTAAAAAAGTTAGCCTATGAAAGATTAACTATGATAATGTCCATGTGCAATACTCTGTTTGTGTACTGGTTCTACTTATGCTGTCAAAAATGAGGGTTTTTTTCCCTATTTGTTTGTTTTTCTGTTACAAAAAAGAAGAAAAAAGACATAGACCTATATTCAGCTGTACAAAATTGCCTGTATAGTTCTCTTAAACTCTCTGTGGGATGATAGAGATGGAGAGCAGGGACTGAGTAAAGGAAGAAGGACCTCTGTTGGCAGGAGGAGTCGGTCAGGCCCTGTCCTCCGTCTGTCTCTGCGGCACGGAAACCGCTGCAGGCAGGTTTCGTCCCCCGCTTCTCACACGCATGTATTGTGAGGCACCCAGGTCTGTATGGGAGGAGTTTCATGCCAGTGATAGGGTGGCCTTGTATCCCATTTTACAGGGACAGTCCTCTATTTGAAGGGCTGCCAGAGGACCGTCCTCTATTTGAAATACCTCTGTTTGAAGGGCTGTCCAGTCCAGTTCTGGTTTAAAGAGAGGGACCCCTCCGAACTGTTGCCCATCGCCACTGCAAACTACACGGCAGGCGCACCGGTCACCTAGTCACAGTCTTCCCCAGGATGATGAGATGTACTGTACTCCTCCTTAAATTATACGAATCCTTTCAAAATGTGCATCTGTACATGCAAATTAGCATATGAAAATTTATGCAAACCACTGCACTCTTGTCTATGTTAGTGGAGTGTTCCCTCCTTTTTGGTGAAGCATAGGTGGCCACCCTAACCAGACTGCATCAGCACCCTGCACCCAGCACCCGCCAGGGCCCAGTTCCTGGCATGACCAGCCACTGCTGATGCCTGCTCCGTGTCCCCCATCCAAACATGGCTTTGGCTTCCTACTTTGAGCAGCCGTGGGCAGCTGCCCTGTCAATCTCTCACAGCGCCCCTGCCCTGTTGTCTCTCAGGAGCACTCTGGGAGACTGGAACATGCGGTTGGACGCGTACTGCCCGGAACACTGCGGCTGCCTCCACCGGGCCAGCCAGAGCGGTTCCAGAGGAGGTGGCCCACCAAAGGTCACGTTGCCCAGGGCTCCTCCAACCGCGACCAGTCCTGCCAGTGGCGATCACATCCCCCACTATCCAGAAGGCACAACCAGCCTGGGGAGAGAGCCAGGACGAGCTCCTCTTAGGCTGCCTGCGGCTCCCTGTGTTACTGAAGGGGCGTGGGGCGAAGCTGCAGCACACGGAAGCCTCCTAGGAAGCCAGCCCAGGCTGCCTTCTCAACAGGCGGGATGAGGCTAGCATCAGGTTTGCATTCACTTTGAGCGATGACGACATTCAATTTCATTACAACGGGGTGTGTGTGTTTCTTTTAAACTCAGGTGTAATGATTATATATACATATACATACATACATGCATATATAGATATAGAGATATATCTATATGTATGTGTATATATAGATAGATAGATGTATTCATATGATGATTATAAAATATTAAATATTATGCTATATCAAGTCATGTGTTGTCTGGCTTACCAATGTAATAATGGATCAAAACCTTTTAGAATAATTTAATTTATCTTGTTAAAAATGGAAGGGCTGGGAGTGGGGGGGGATAAAAGGTCGCCCCAGCTTCTAGAGTGGAAGCACAGAAACGTCACAAAGGTTTCATCATCTCATTATTTTATGTCTATTAAATAATAAAATAGAGGGGAGGGGAAAATAATGTAAAGCTGCCCGCTAGTTTTCTATATGATAGCTAATACAAGCTCCGTGTATTTCTGATGCATGTTAGCTTTGGACATCCAGTGCAAGAACTGACAATGCTAAGTGGTCTTTTCCGTAGGTTAATGGCAGTTTTGGAGGTATCAAGTGGTCTTCTGAAGCTGCTCAGACATTAGCTAGAACTATTGTACAGTGCACTAATGTTTGTATGGAATGAGATGCCTTGATACAAAATTAGGATTGGCCTTTTTATACAAAGGAAAGTATTGCATTCCACAAAGCATGTGTATGCAAACTTGTGGACTGTGTGACTCCTTCATTCCTGGCATGAAAATCTCCGACAAACATTCATTCTAAAACTGCCCCAAAAGCCACATTTTTGTCTTTTGGGATGCTGAGTAAAAAAGCCCAAACCTTAGCATGGGCAGATCTGTGGCATCTGCAATCTGGAAGGCCTTTGTTTCAATCCAGCCAGAGGGGTTCTTTGGTGGGTGTTTCCAATACAAAGATGCATGCAGGATACACACCTGCATCTGAGGTAACACATCCGCTCACCTGAGCCCTGCTGAGCTGTCTGGATGCTGGAAACTGCAAGGCCACCAGATGGTACTTGTGACCACATCTGGATGGGAGATCAGTGGGATTTAAGCAGACAGTCCTCAGCACAAGTGAATTCCATTCAAGTAATTTTCTGCTCAACAGGCTTTGTCTTTAACTTTGAATTCATTTAAAAAGAAAAATGCTATTAGATTTCTTCTTCTTTCATGAAGTGTTTCCATCTGTTGGGAGGAAAGGCAGCATTCAAGATATGCAAAATTGCCAAACAACAATTTGAAGTAATCAGATAATTTTCACTTTCTCTATGCTTTAGAAACACTATTTAGTAAGAATGTGTTTTTCCCCCCATACAGTGAAAATAATGCCATCTCTCCAAAAAGGCTTATATGAGAGAAAGACAGACTTCTTTTGAAATTATGTGCAAAATAGTTCTGGGGGGAAAATACAAAAAGTACTCAGTTTTACAGGAGTGGGGAGGTGTCTTTTTTAATTGTAAGGCTTTCTTTGTACAGATTTTTTCTTACAGTTGTAATTTGAATCTCTTGCCATTCATTAGGGTAATTTCATTGTAGCCATTATTACTGTGCCAAATGTACTGTATTCTAAAGGATGTGAATGTGTATTGTTTCAGAACCTAATAAATACAAGGATGTTAAAAACTTACTTTGGCATCTCTCACAAGTGCTTTCAAACAAGGAATGAAGAGTATGCAGCATATACTAACACAGGTCTAGGTGTACATTTTGAAGAGCGGAGAGCTCCATAGCCACATCCTCATGGGAAATCCTCTCTCTTCCCCCCGTTTTTAAAGGAGTGAACACTCTGGCTCAGATCTTCATTGCATAACACAGAAAGGGGTGGAGAGATGGACAGAGGGCTGAATGACGACTTAGTTTATGCAAAATGACTGCAGTTCTGTGCATAGTAATTTGGAAGTTAGTTCCATTGAACTAATAATGGTGCTTCCCTCTAGCTGCATGGTTTCAACTTGTGAAGCACACTGAAAACTTTAATCAAAGATCTTTGACCCTTTGAAATGCTTTTGATCTGAAAGGCAAACCATCTTGCAAGGAAGTGCTAGAAAAACTTGGGAGCCTTGTCATCAGCCCATTCACCTGGCAGAACAAAGCATGTCCCAGGATGAGGCGGCTTCCTCTCTTCCTCACAGAGTGAACTGCCCCCCTGAGTGAAAGAGCTCCCATTTGATGCTTCGTCAGGAAGCCCCGACTAATCCCAGCTGCTTCTGTAATCCTGCACAGAACGTAGGTTGTCAAGTAGCGTGCTCTGGAGTTCAAAGTCCCCTCTGCCATGAATCTCACTGGGTAACTTTGGACCTGCCGCTGACTCTTGGTCTAACATAACTCACAGGGTTGTTGGGAAGATGAAAGGAACAGGAGGAGGCTCAGGGGAGACTGGAGCCTCCTCTGTCACTAGGGCTCTCTCGAGTACAAAATAAAAGCTGCAATGGATAAGGAGCGCCACTGACATAGGAGTCACCAGCCTCCCAAGAGGGCCATGTAAGCTGCCTTGGGACCCCTGCAAGGAAAGGCAGGTTTAAATGCATGAAACGGCTCATCCCACGCATGCATTTTGGCACATGTATCCAAACCACGGGTTTGATTCAGGATCTGCCTTCAGTTGACAGAAGAGCTATGCTTGCCCATCACATTCAACTGGGTCCCCTGAGCCTCTGTGTGGCTTTTTCAGGGAGTTGGCTGCACACAGCTAAATCTAAACCTTTATGATTACCTGTGTCTAAAAGTAAATTGAGAAATGACCCTTGGCTATCCAATATTCTTGACCACAGATAACAGTCCAAACGTCAGTTGGGGGAGAACCTGTCTTGGAGGATTTCATTTCTCACCAATCCTATTTTATTCAAAGGCTATTCATCCTCCTTCTCATAAAAACTTTCATAGGCCAGGGAAATCCAAATATTTGTGTGCTCGGAGGGAGGAATGGAGCATGGCAGCAAAAGACCTGTTTGCACCTGACAGTGGTCCAGAGTCCAGATCAAAATGAGAATTCCTGCTGAAACCCTCACATGATCCATGTGGCTTAACACAACCGAGAGTTGTCTTGATTAGGAACCAGGTGTTGGTCTTTAAACTTTACTACTGATCCAGTGCAGAAAAACACTACAGAACACAATGCCTCATTGTTCCTTGAGGCCTTCCTGCTTTAACCATCAATGATCCTTACAGTTTGTATCCCAATGTATCACCTAGAGCAACAGTTTTATGGACCCTTTGGCCTAGTCCTTATTTCTCTGTTACTGAAACATAGGTTGCTGTGTTGTCTGAACCCAGCAGAGGTAACAAACCATGGTAAGCAGCCCACACTTCACAACAAATTATGGATTCTCTTAAAGGGTTGCTCATGATTAACAAGGCATGGCTTGTTCACAAAACCATCTCACCACAGTGGGGAAATTACTCAGTTAAAAAAAAAACAGAATACCCATGTTTCAGCAGAAACTCACACTCATCCCTTGAGTGTAAGTTATCATGTTGTTGGAACCCAGTCAGTAACCTTCTTACTATGCTGAGATATACTGTATTTCTGTGTAAACATTAGTCATTCTTTCTGAATTGCATCCCTTCACATGCATTAGTGCATGCAAACGTTATACATATGTATGCCTTCTTTTGTCTTCTTTCTTGACTATGCATTTCCAGCATCCCCCCCCCTTTATTTCCTTTTTTTCTGAGGCGGGGGTGGGGGGGAATAGCTCCCTACGGTGAGAATTCACATATTAAATGTCCTGCCATTAAAGTCTTTCCTCCACAGGGATACATGGAAAGCATAACTGAAACCTGATGTACCACTTGGGGGGAATCTACCTGTGTGCCCCCGCAGCCCGTTCGTACATCCTAGCATAGACCTACCACCTCAGTGAGCCCTGGGCCTTTGTAGCCTAGAAAATATGAGTGGACCAGTTCAGAAATGGGGTGCCCTAATTTCTGCATCAAAGAAATGTGTGAGAAAAGAGACGAACTCTCATCTAGCTTCTTTCCACATCTTGCAGTATCAGAGCTGGACTGGAAGAGAAATGTCTGGTGCTCGTGATGGCTACTCACACCGGCATACACCCTTTGATGTAGAGGAGATATAGGCCCCCCTTTTTTTACATGAATGTTGTGACTCTGTGAATGAGCTTTAGACTTACAGGAACCTGCAATCTCTGCAGAAGTTGTGGGGTGGACAGGGGGACATTGAGACGAGCTGCTTCCCGGAGGCTCATGAAGCTGGATGGGTTGGTTTCCTAATGACCCTTGAGGAGTTTCCCAATGACAGGTTTGGCCCTCCTGCCAAAGCCCTTGAGGGACCTCTGGAATTCAGAAATGACCTCAGACATTGACATGATCTCTCCTAAGTGCCGCTTCCACTTTTTGCTTGCTTTTTCTGATTGTGCTGTATTACACCCATTGCCTTGGAGCTGAGAAATAACAATCACAGTTTCTGTTGACAAGGACACAGGATAAGAGTGTGGGGATCGAAATGGAAGCACTATCATGGTGCACCTCCTTTGTAGTCTGCTGTTGACTGTTTTCACAGCTGATTGTAAACCGAGATGGAAATCAACTAATCTTATGTTAAAACAAAGAAGAACAACACTTGTTTATGCCCATGGTAGATCAACACACCAGAGTGTTCTTACATGATCTTCTGTTATCATACAAAGTCCCAATGGATAGGTGTTTTATGTAGATTTTATAACTGTGATTATCCAAGTCAGGCAATTAGACATCTACCTCTCCGTTTATGGTGATTAAAAAGATAAACCCAACTGGGCTGGTAGTAAAGTTTAACTTAGATGTTTGACTTTCAGAAGCCTATTCAAATTTGAGGGATATGTCACTTTTTACTGCTTCTCAAATTGTTTTATAGGATAGTCCAGCACAACAAAAATCAGACATTGAATTTTATCCATACATAACTTTTTCCAGAAATAGCAGCATAATTCCATGCAGGCCATTTATGTATTTATTTAGGGGAATACATTTATATGTCACCTTCAGGGCAAGGCCATCTCAAAGCAGCTGTGCTGGAAGGGAAGTGTCGCAACCTGAATGAATAAATGATCTTACACTAAGCAACTAGAGTTGTTGGTCCTGGTGGAGGTAGCACTGATATTAATGTGTTGTTTAATTGTATATTCTTAAATAGAAAATAATAAAAAAATTAAAAAGAAGGAGAAGTAGGGGAAATCACTTTCCAAACTAATTCTGGAGTAGTTTCAAACCCAGCTTGCAATACCTCAATAAAAGACAACTGAAATGTGCTATTATTTTACAATACATTAAAACATTTATCTGGGTGGAGTTAAGCGTACCTTTTTCAGGAAAGCATTCCAAAGAAATGGGGACATCACCAAGGGGTCCCTTTCTCTAGCATCTGCCAATATGATGGCCCTTTACAGTGGGCCTATGACCAGGGCCTCTAAGGCGGCTCTTAAGTCATGGGCAAATCAAATGGGTAGACGCTGTCTTTCAAATAATGCAGCCCCAGACCTCTTAGGGCTTTAAGATGAAAACCGGAACTTGAAAGCAAGCCTGGAAATCAATAGGGGACTAACATTATTAGCATACTATTAGTTGAATATACTCTAAATGCCAAACCCCTTCAACATCCTTGCAGTTAATCATGGTCCTTTTTGAGAGATCTGGGAAGGAGGCCTCAGTTGGACAACTGCCGACAAGGCACACAAAGATCTCCCTTACTGGTGCCTTTGGGTAGAGATTAACTGAGACCTAATACTCCGCAGTCTTCTTTTATATAGGCGGGCTGCTGATTCTCTGCTTGGTGGGCTGCTAGCAAACCATCTGAAGGTATTTGGAGATGTCCTCTATTTGAAGGGCTGTCTTGTCCCATTTCGGTTTAAGGAGAGCTGCTCGGCACCCATGAGCACTTGCACGTAGCCAAGAGCTCTCTACAAGACAGACCCATTGCCATCTTTCAAGGCTCTGTCCAGTTGGGAGGCTGGGAACAAAGTCTGGGGTTGTGTTTGGAGGGGAGTGAGGAGAGAACTGCTTGTTTGCAGGATGGGAAGGGAGGCAAATGGGGCAGGGAAGCATTTGTGGAGGTGACAGTGGATAGCTGGAGAACCAGGCAGCGAGTGAGACAGAAGAAGGGGCTGAGGACAAGCTGGAGGCCAGAAAGGATTATGTGGGTGGGAAAGGCTTTAGGAGATTCTTAGCCACGATCAGACTTCAGTTTACTGTGAATTTGTTTTCATTGTCCCTCAAGTAATCACTCTTGTCTTCTGTTAAATCTGGGTAATTGCCCATGAAGCTCATGCTTAATGGATTTGAACACCTCTCCTGATACCAACCCTGAGATGGTGCTATTAGTGCATGGAGAGGGTGTCAAGAGCACACGCATCACAATGAATCATCCTTTTTAAATGCCATAAAGTGATCCTGCCGTTTTACTGATATGAACCGCCCAGCACAAGTTTAGGCAAAAAGGTCCTCTGGCTGCCCACAAGCCAGCGGCGACGTGCCGGTGGCTGCAGCCCTTTTCCTAGCGACACACGCACTGGCACGTGCCCTCAGTGACTGTGTGGCCAACGGTGGTCTCACTTCAAAGCTCCCCTCACCCAAAACACCCTTTCTGGGTGGTGCAGGACACAGGAATAAGCAAAGCTCAGGAAGAGGTAC